CTACCTTTCACTGCTCAATAAAAAATGATTAAATTTCCTTTTACATGCCCGTGCGTTAACGTTATCAACGATTTAATGACTTGTGAAATATCGGTTATTATCTGATTGGATTATGTAGGGCCATTCGTAATGGGTACGAAATTAAAACGCCACTTTTTTAATCGATGCGAGTAAATCACGACTATTTTAGTATTTATATGCATATACCCATATAATATGACATAATATTATGTATGGCGGGTGTAATTGAGTATTATTTTCTTAAATATTTTTTATCAGCAGTCGTACTATATTATAACTCGTACCTACCTACACCCGTTGCGTATGACAAGTCTCGTGATATTGTAAGGACGTCAACAAAATATTTCATGCGCCGGACATTAAGCGCATACCTAACGATTTTCGACGGAATCGGGCGAGGCGGATGAGGGAATAATAATCATTGCAGTGATGAGTGTGAATTTTTTTGAAAACAAGACATTTATTATAAGCGAATGTTACTTAAAAAAAAAACTACAATCATAATAATTATGACAGGAAAAAAAACGTGAGACTGCATTATTTTTTTATTGGAATCACTCAACTGCGAGCGTATTTACGACTCTTACACTTTTCTAGACTATGTGCAAACGTAACAGAAATATTCAAATATATAATATTCAAAAATGTATATGTACCTAATTCAAAATAATATTATCATTACTAATTATATACACAGAATAGTGAAGTCTGCAGTGAAAATAATGTGTTAAAAGTAAACTGCAGTTTTCACTATCGAGTGTCAATTTCGTAGAACAGCAGTTCCCAAATTGTGCGCCGCGTTCTACGGCTGATAATAAAATATGATTTTTTTTCGAAAATTCGTTATTAATGAGTATTTTTTTGTCCTGTATTTTATGATATTCACAGCGGTGCACCGTGGCTCTATATTTGGTCCAAAAAAGGATAAAGCGAAAAAAGTTTGGACAGTTTGGGAACCACTTCCGAAGAAAAATTAGATTTATATATGTATATACATAGATCTTTCTTCTTTAGTGTGTAAAAATATTTGTTTGTAGCTGGTAATATCAGAATCTACTGAATCAATTGACATAAAATTAAAGTCTACACATATTCCTAGAGACTAATATAGGAGTGTGTTTATACAGTTTTCCGTTTTTTCTATTTTTTTTAACCCACAGGGTTATACTACTTACCTACTCGTACAGGGTGTTTAGCTATTTATACATTTTAGATTTAGCTCACAAAAGTCTAATAATTTATTTGTTTGGTTATTATTTTATAGGATTGTCATTTATTACAGAACTAAAAGTGGCTTTTGTACAATTTATACACAGAACAATAATGGCATCAATTCTTAATGCATAGGTACTTAAGTTTTGTTTAAAGTATTTTTACCTACTTGATCGATTTTTATAAGCATTTCAGAAATTATTCTTCGAGATGATGAAAACGATTAAAGTGTTATATAACCACATTTAAAAATATACCAATATTTTGGTGTCCAATCCACCGCAGGCGGATTGCCCATTTCGGTCGAATTAGTTCACAAAGCGGTGAGGTACACCGACGACGATATTCCTCTGATATGACAGGTATCTACCTAGAGAATGCACTTACCATTGCACTCAGTAAACATTCCTGGAAACCCGCTGGGAAGACTTGAGAACTGCTAGTGTCACGTTTTGGCTCGACTAAATAACTGATAAAAAAATTAAAAATTAACTCACAATGTTTGTATGTATTATAAAATTGCCTTACAAATTTATCGAGTGTTACTGCTGAGTAGCTACTCTCCTCAAATTTCCGGATCATGCATAGTATTATTTTTATTTATGTCGTACGCTCATATCCTTATTGTAACTGACATTACATCCTTATAAGAGAATAAAGTATATATATCAGTATGTGATATGAGAAAATGAAATTTACTTCAAACTCGATGTTTCTATATACAATTGAAAAAAATTCTTTACCAAAGATTTAAACATTTTAAAACAGTCTGATGACTTTTACAACACTGTTAATCGTAATAGATATACAGATTTTTGATTTTATATCAAAACTTTGTGCGCGTGTGGTGTGTAGATTTATTATTTAGTGACTGACAATGGTTATGTAAACAGACAATAATGATGAAGATAATATAAACAATATTTTTGTAGAAATTCCTTCTTCTTTTTTTATTCCACTTATAAGATTTATATTATTAATTTATTACATTTTTGCAAACAAATCGAAATCGTTAAATTCACTTGATATTCAACTCTTCATTTCAGATTACAACACAATTTWCACCTATCCTAGTTTCCAAACATGTTAAAAATAAAATTATGGTTTTTTGACAACACGAAACACATATTATAATAATTATATAAGTAATAACATAGATAATACTAATATCGTGCAAATAAATTAACTAATAATTATGTAGATGATCATTAATTACGTGATCACATTGATGGTATGATATTACGTTGAAAATTAAATAATACGATATTAAATATTTTTATTTACTCTTGTAATGCTAAACATATATATTATTTATGTTCATTACGTTTCTTTCATTCTTTTTGATCTGAGTAAACACTAAACGCATAGGTGTATTGGATGATAACTATATTCAACTGAAATAAAATTAAACTAAAAACGATTAATAATATAAGTATAGAATATAATAATTAATAAGTTATAATACATTATATTGTTTAAAATAATACTTAACGCATGTCCACATGCCTATAAATATAATAATAAAAAGAATAAACAAAATAACATAAAATTACTATATCCAATGACAAAAATAAAAACCGTAAAATTTGGCTTACAGAATTTTAAAATATTTTATTACTTAACAATACCTTGTAATAGTTATAATATATAGTAATAATAGATAAATTATACTATAATAGTAAATAGTAATAACTAAATAATAAATCGTATTTCAATGATGCCTAACTATTAAACTTTTACATTTTATAAGGATTATTTCAAGGTAGACATTATAATTGGCCGAAATATACATATATACAGAGTGATTCACCAAGTATGCTCAATTTCATTTTTTTTCATTTAATAATGAATTTATTTAAATTCTTCTTTTTTAAAATTTTTAAATCATATACTTAACAACGATGATTTCAATTTTTGGAGATTATTTGTATTATTTTCAAGAAGTGTCCTGTGTCGAACCAAACTAATGTTTTAATATTATTATATCTTGTGTGGGCGGTAAAAAAAAATACAGCAAATTTTATCATGTTCTTGCCATGATGCAGCCAAAAACTTGAAATTTGAATAATAGTTTTACCCATATATAATGGTCTCATGCAAAGTATGAAATTAAGAGTTCTCCTCCACTCTACACCTATAAGACATATTAATCGTCTAAATGTTTTCTTAAATGGGAGAAATGTTTTTACTTTTCAGACGTACCGATACCTATACTACTAGATAATTATATTATGTATTTAACATATTATTTCATTACCATGTTACATACTCCGGGATAATAGATATATTTTAGTGTGTCGTTTATTTAATTACCATTACCCACGGAAATAGCTTAATCACATGCATGTCAGTATTGGCGTCGTCGAGACAAAGATATATGTGTGAATAGAGTTTAAAAAAAGAAGTAAGAAAATTTAGTAAAAACCTTACAAAATAAGCTCTCCGTAAGCTGAAACCTCTAAAGCAGTCGATAGTAGAAATACCACCAGACAGTTAGATTAGAATCCCAAATTTTTTTTTCATTTCTCGTCTGCCCATTTTAGGAAAAATATGTTCTTTAAGTATATATGAAATTACTAAAAATTAGATTTTTAATAGGTGAATTATTGAAGAAAAAAGTGAAAAATCATGCTTGGCGAATCGTTCAGTACATTATAAGTTTTTTTTTTAAATTAAGATTTTAATAAGTCATTCCTAGGTTAATAAGATAAAATAGAAAATTGACATTCTTATATTGTTACTTAATAACATAAAAAATAGTTATAATATGATCATAAGTGTCATGTTTATAATCATTAACTATTGAGAGTCTTGAAGTACGAAAAATATTTTAATCCAATCGTATGTTTTTAAAAACGAACAACACTATACTAAAAAGTTTAAAGAAATATTTGTCTTAACTAAATTATTGGTAAAACTGAGAAATTATTTATTGCGATGTTCCAATATGGTTTTATGAGTACAATGCAAAATTAATGACCAAAACTAATTTTTAGTGCGTATTACAATAGCTACACATATAATATGCATATAGTACTAAATTATAGTCAAAACTCTTTTATTAATGTATATATTTTATACTGCTAAATATATAGTTTAAAATTATTTCTTACAATTTTATATGCACGATTAAATCATACAATAACAGTACCTATTATAAAAAATTTGAATTATACTGTTATTTAACACCAACTTTTTATTATTTAATACCTATATACATATTTAATATCTACATACATTAAACCTATTGGAAGGACATGTTTCATTAGTTTTGATTTTTAATTATTGTTATTTTTTATTTATATTTATCTAATACATTTTCAATTTTTTAATAAAATTGTATTGTTTTTATCATCACAATATAAATATCTATACCTACTAAGCCATTAATAATGCAAATGTGTACTCCTCATTGGTTTTTTATAACCTCTCACTATGTTTTCAACAAATATAAATATAATACATTTTATTGAAAATATTTCGGTTTAAAACAAATTTCTAGACTCAATTTGGTTTTTTATGCAATAACGAAATTAAAAAGAAATTTTTTTTAATTTTTATAATTAAGAATAAAAAATGTATATAGAAATAACAAACGTATCTATGGATTTTAAATAGGGCAAATACTATGAAACATTTATGTTAAAAATAAAAATGCTTGTTTTTTGATTATATGGATTTATAATTTCTAATCTCATTTTAAGTTATTTAATATGTTCCTTAGTTATTTCTATTTAATAAAAAAAATTAAATCAATGTTTTAGCTTTTCAATAATATAATCCTTTGTAATGTAACAGTGCAAGGTATGGACGTGATTTTAAAATATAGTTATCATAATTTTAAAACAAATTACAAGATAACAATCCATATTGCATAATAGTATGACGACGATTAGATTTTTTTTTTATATATTTCAAATTATTAGCGCTTTAAAAGGGAATAATATCTGATAATAAAAAAATCTTCAACATTGTAACGAAATATATAATAATAAAATAGGTGGGCAAAAAAATKAAAAATAACTTATCACATAAAAAGGGAGAGTTATATACTAGCTGAGATGGATCTTATTTTCTCAGTAAATCTGTGACTTAAAGTACAATAATATTATGAATAGTGCTAGGAATACATCAAAATGAAGTTCATAAAGGGTGCGTGAGAAAAAAATCGATAAAATTTACACTTAGTTTGTCACCCAGTGGGAGAGGAGAGGAGACCAGATGCACCTTTTTAATAAACGACTTATTATACCTATATAAGAGGGTACCGGAGCCTCGAGAAGTCTGTCCTCTCGCAGATCATCGGGGTCGGAGGCAATATAACATCAAAGTTGATAGTATAGGTACATGGTACACGAATTATAATTTGTTTCTAAATTTTTTTCAAGAGGGTGGCCCTAAACCGCGTCAGCGGTTCGTGCAGTAGATCAGCGTGTGCCCAAGCTGGCCAAGATGAGCGACGCCTGTTCGTCTACCGACCGGCTGGGCTGGAACGTGAGGTTCGGTATTTTCTTGCCGATGCCACCACCGCCGGTCATCTTGTTCCTCCGGTTCCTGTTCAGATCGTGTGGTGTCAGCGGTTCGTCCATCAGTCGCAGGATGTGAGTCTGATCCGAGCTGTCGATGGGTGCCACAGAAATATCCCTGACAGCCCGGAACCGGCCGCAGTTGTTCAGATGTTCGTTCTCCAGCCGGAAGAAATTCCAAACGAATCTTCTGCGGGTGCATATAACACATAATAGAAGTATAAAAATATTATACAAAATAATGTAAAGTAAATAAGTTAAGAATTGATCCATAATATACGAACATGATTAATCATTATGATAGTTATTGGTATAAAAAAGCTACGATATTTTAATATATTAAACCTTTTTTATTATTCATGTTTTTTTTACAAACCATCCGTTCGGTAGGTGTCCACTATAATATTGCATGCGTGTATAGTAAATGCCAATTATATATTATTGTGGTTTTGAAATTTTTTTTTATCGACATTGGTAATTTGTGCAGCCACACAGGCGCGATTAGGCGCAATCAATGTCTTTTTATGCATCAATTCTTTGATATTTTGTTTAGGAAAATTATTCCCATTATATGTACTAAACCCACACAATTACGAATAACATGATCACAATGCCCCCCTGCAAACCGCAACGTTTGTAATGAAATGATAAAATATAAATTAATAAATTAATAAATATATAGACATATTGATAAATATAAAATAACTCCAATAGTTTCCTAAAATATAATAAATCGTAGTTTTGATGAAAACAGTTGAAAATGTAATTATTACTATAACTACGATGACCATACAAATTCTTAAAAATAATGAGTAGGAAATCTATTATTAACAGTAATTTAATTTTTACAAATTCGTCATAATTTTTATTTTTCATTGCTCTGCAGACACTTAAAAATGTAAAAAACATTTTATTCGAAATAAGTGGCTAATTCAATTCCTTAACGAGTAAGGTATAATATATTGGCTAACAGTGTTCTTACCTAGTATAGGTATATGAAAACAAATTAAACATAAATATTGCATATTATTACCTATAGCTATACTCAAAATGGTTTAACGTATCGAAAAAAGAAGATTTTAGAACTAAATAAATTAAAATTCGTTTAATTTAATCAATTAAATGTTCTATAAATATAATATGATTACATTTTAAACCTTTTTAAATGTCTATCTGGACACTCTAAATAAATACACACTGATATATTAATAATTACGTGTTAGATAATAAAAAAAATTAATAAACTACTTTAATTATAATTATTTTGTTAAAATACGTTTAGGAAATGAAACAAGTAAACTGTTTGTCTTATGATCGTGTTTATTAAATAATATACAGTTCAAAAAAGTACAATAACGATATTAAAATCTACTAGAGAATATCGAAACAATATGGGAAATTTGAATGCACTCAATTAATTTCACGGATTAGATTTAATTATAATTTATTGACCGATTAAATGTTTTACTATCGAAAATAATTGTCCGTGTTAATGGTTTTCTTTTTTTCGTCTGTACTACAAATGAAGAGTATGCATTCAAATATTTAACTAATAATATAATATTACAAATAACAATACTACAATAACTAAATACAAAAAGGTTTATAACATTATTATATATCTGTCTATGATTTAAGATCCTAAAAATGAATATCCCTATTTTTTTCTTGCATTCAATTATCTTTATTTATTAATTAACTATTTTTTTTTTTACCTTGTAATCTCAGTAGTAAGTGCTTACTCTTATATATTTTTTTTCAATGCAAGATAGTAAATATAGTTATAAAGATAATATAATAAAAAAATATCAATTATTTCGGAACATAAAGTGAAACTGAATACTTATCTTTTGATTTTGGACTTTAAAAGGCAATTATTCATTATGAGTAAAAATACACAATGCGAATGTTCAAGGCCGAAACACTTGTATGATATATTGTATAATTTTATTAATTATTAATATTAAGTGTTTTAAATAGAAATTAATGAAAAAGTGTACGAACACAATACATTTTACCTTGGGAATTTAATAAATACATTTTAGTATATCCATTGATTGATTTTATTATTGATTTAAAATAATATGCATGATATCACAACAGTATTAAAACTTAGTGCGACACATTGAACTTCTGCGTTATGTATAAGCAAATCAATTTGATTTTAATAATTTCAAAATTCATTCAATTGCCATTAAATACTCATCCTGATACTCTATATTCTATACGTTGTAAGTAGATGAGTTACATGTAATTAAATAAATTATGCGATGGGTACTTCAATGATTAATCACGTTTTAAGTTACCTAATAGATTACTATTCGGAACTTGAGATATGCGAATGCATAATCAAAATCGGGTTTACCGTTGAATTACGTATAATGGTCTTTAAATTGTTTCAGAATACATTAGCTAATTATTATTCAAATAATATTCAATTTTAACCAACATTGAATATGCTATTATTTATATATGACACAACATGGTAAACTAACCTCATTACTTCGAGAGGCGACAAAATGGATACCATTAAGTCACCATGAACATAGCCCATTTCGGTTAGAGACATTGACAGCGCCCAACCAAAACGTAAGACAAAATCTTCGACGATTGCGATGTAGTAAAATGCCTAAAAGTATAACATATTTTATATAATTCATAATATTATTAGCAATATTATAATATTACATTGTAAAATTTAAATATTTCTTAAGCGTTAAGACTAATGTATGATAACGTAACATCATGCGTGACCAGAATTTTGACATGATAATAATTAAATTTTCAATCCAATTTTTAACTAAGAATTATTCTATCAATAATCAAAAACATGAATGCATATAATATACTATAAATATCAATGAAGAGGGCACTGAGACAATAAAACGGCAAAGAATATTTGAAGGATAAATCAACTAAATCACATAGTACCTATTATTATGAAACTTTAAGCCACTAGAATACAATTATAATACAATTTATTATTTTATTATCCCTCTTACCCTCGAGAATTCCACGGAACGTCAATAAGGCACTGGTCTGCGCATGTAATAGACGTTATTTAGGTATACGTTTTGTTCAAAACTTATAGTTGTATTGGAAATTGAAATCGTTTAGCGCGTTGTATTTATTAAGTTAAAACGGAATTTTTCAACAATTTCGTAAAACCATAATTTGTTTTGAATTATGATCATTATCGGTTAATAACGTTCTATATTGTACAACTAAAAGGCAGAGGTACTCATTAATACGAACATTGCAGGTACCTCTATACATTACACTTAATGTGTACAAACACTGAGTAACACGCATTACATACATACGTTCTTAACGCACACATATATGACGTGATTTGCGGAACGCCTTAGGTGCAATTAAACACGACAGATATTACGAAGAAAAATATATATTTCTATTTGCAAACATGTAAAATGTCAATGCCTATGGTATTTATTCCAGATTCTATATATCATAATATAAGGCTAAGGTTTTGTTAAACTATTTATACACTTGAACAGTTAAACATGAAATATTGGCCAATACTCAATTGAATTACAACGATATATATTTCCGTTATTGTGTAAACATCTATATACAATTCTTCTCCCAGAAAATGTATGACTGTAGGAATTTTGTGCAAACAAACAAAACCTCATTACCACAACGAACGAAATTTTCTAACAGCTAATCTCGGAAACTACTTGACCGATTTCATTATAATTTATATCAGTATAGCTTTTTGAGACTCAAATGGTGATTTTAACTAATTTTTTAAGCTCCTATATACCGGTGGGTTACGCCTGAATTTCGTTTTGGCTCACGAAAATCGAATATTTTTTTGTTTGTTTAAAAATATGGCTGTCATTGGTTGCAGATTATATCACTATAGTCAAGTCTCGATAACTCAAATATTGAGGAGATTAAGCGTTAATTCGACATAAAAATGTTTCGAGTTATATTATACTTCAAATACAATTTATAAACAAAACACTTAAACAATCGAGTTATCACGACTTGACTGTATGATAGAAATATGGCATATTTTTATACAATATTATATAACCCGTTTCACCAGAAAAGCGTTAAGATGTTTTTACATTTAAAAAAAATTACCACAACATGGCTAACATTTTAGATTCTGCAGAGCGGAGCGAGGAATGTATTGATTTTACCATGATGTGTGTTTTTCTATTTATTTATTTTTTTTTTGTGTGTCTGTCATCACGTTTTGGGGCAGTAAAAGTGCTTAGATTTTCGACTCCAGTACCTTGTCTGATCAGAAAATGAATCTAATTGATACTTCAAGGGGTCAAAAGTAAAAAATTTTTAATATTTTTCTAAATAATCGGGATAAACAAACTAAAGATTATGGGAAGAATGGGAAATTTTACGCACAATCAGTTTTCGACAAAATGTATTTTGTTTTTTGATGTAACTTTAAAAACAAATGACCATAGATACATGAAATTTTCACTGAATGTTTATATAAGTATATTCTATTTGCCATGCAATTTTCAAAAAATTTCGACTTAAGTTGAACTATTAATAGGCATATTCAATTTTCGATAATTATTAGTAAAAATGTATATGTTGGGAAGAAAATCTTGAAAATTTAATACAAGGCTCCTAACATATTTTTACAATAGGAGTTGAAAAATAAAATAAATTCATAGTCACAACTAATTTTTTATTAAGCATTCAAAGTTTGAATTTTGATAAAATACGTAAAAATCACAAAAATTCGCAAAATATTTTAAGCTAGAAATTCAAAAAAAATTTTCTTTTTAAATCTAACATTTGAAAATGTAATACAAGATTCCTTACAAGTTTTTCAATCTTTATCACAAAAAAAATGTCCACCATAAAGTCAAATTAAGTTTTATGAGCGTTTGAAATTTAAATTTTTACAACATTTGATTTTCACTAGAWTTCTCATTTAGCGATTTTCTTATTTTGGTGTAACTCTAAAAAAAATGACCGCAGATACTTGAAATTTTCACTGAATGTTATATAGGCATTTTATATATTTGTTAAAATTTTCAAAATATTTTGATTTGTTTTGAGCTGTTTACTCTGACATTTTAATTTTTCAACTTTTTTAGTTTTTTTTTTCTATTAATGTCAATAAAATTTTATTTGTGGGGTAGAAAAGCTTGAAAAAAATTAATTCAAGGCTTCTAACACATTGTAAGAATAACAGTGGATAAATATTAAAAATACATATGTATGATTTTTTTTATAAGCATTTAAAGTTTAAATTTTGACTAAATACGTAAAAATTACGGCAATCTTCAAATCATCTTAGATAGAAATTCATAAAAAATTTTCTTTTTAAATCGTAAGATTTGCAAATTTTAAATAATCTATAATATATCCTAGACAGATAAACCGTCTCC